GAAGGTGTTCTGCAAGTCCTCCGAGGCTTCTGTGACCACACAGCCCACACAATTCAAAATCAAACTTTGAGAGGGGGAGTGAGACAGCCAGAAGCAGGGGCAGAGGATGTGGTTCTGTTTCCTAAAGGAAAGCTTGTGACCAATGGGCCGTGGGCCTGGAGGCCCCTAAGTGGGAGGTAGTACTCTTCCTCACTGGATGGACCTGCCTCTCTGTGTTGTGTTCTACTCTGAGCTCTACACATCTCCCATAGTGTGTTTCCTCTCCCTCCACCTCCTCACCAAGATAGATTTGTTTTTCTCAGTGTCTCTCTCCCTAATCTCAGCCCCAAACTGATTTCTTTTTTTTGGAAATGGTACCCTAAATTCTCTGCATGGCTTTCTTGTGGCTCCATGGAATACAGGGCAGGGATGTTTGAAAGACACTGCTTTCTCTAGGAGTGAGCCTTCCCTTTAAAAAAGTTTTTAGGCAGGGAATGGGAGTCACGTCAGCTTCGGAGCTGTGCCACTCACCTGCCTGGTCAATGGAGATGGCCTGGGTAGGAATCGGGTCACAGGCCTCTGGTCTTCTCACAACAATTGGCCCCAAACCAATATGGTCTGGAGACGGCCCTGTAGCAAGTGCAGGGTGAAGCTGCTGTTCTGCTAGGAAGGGTGTACCCCAGCTCTTGGTTTGGAGAGCTCGTGCTGTCTCAGGCAAACCAGGGTAAATCCCGAGAAGTTACATTTCCCCTTTCCCATGTGTTATGCCAAGTCCTCCATCCCAGCTCTATTGGTTTCTGGTTATCACTGCTGGGAAAGCTTGTGTTGTTGGCCCTTTCAGTTCTCACCAGCCCAGCACTCGCCACACCCTGGTTTTGGTGTCAATGCCAGCTCTCCACTAGTTCTGTGACACTGCACGTTTGGAGGATTATTGAAAGGGGAGATGTTGGCTTGCTCTTGGCTCTTCCTTTCTGGGCTCAGATGTCTATAGGACAACAGTGAGGATGCTAAAAGGCATATA